CCGGGCCGGGGGCAGTGGGGGGCAGCCAGAGGCCGGGTCCTGGCCTTGGCACTTCCTAAATAAATTCATGCGGTGGCTGTGTGTGTTGTGCCTCGCCGGCCTTTGGCCCGTGGATGTGGGTGCAGGCGAGGAAGGTGCCCGGCGCCTCGCTTGTGCCCCCAGGAGAAGCAAGTGCCTCGCCATGTGTGTGGGCTCCTTCTTTGTGACCGCTTTTCGGGCGTGCCTGTGAATAACAGCGGACACCAGCAAGTGAGCGGGCAGGGCAGCGGGTGTTAGTACTTGGCTTCAGCTCCCTCGCTTCCTGGGGCCGGACCTGAGGCGTGAAGGTGGGGCTGCAGGTGCTGGGCAGAGATGGCCGCTGGCAGCCCTCCTCCTGAGGTGATGCTCGCCTGTGAACGGGGTGATATATAGCAGGGTCCCGTTGCTGTGTGGTCCTCTAATGACACAGCATGAAACGTGGGCTTCACGCTCATCATGTGTAGACATGAGGTAATTCAGACGTTCGTCGCATGCGCCCTGCATGTGTACAGGAGTCGTTGCCATGATTTCTTACCGTCACATGCTGCGTTAGCATTTGGCTATCGTACGTCAACGGAAGACTGCTGGATTGGTCAGTACTGCAAAGCCGCTACTGTCAATGTTACATTATCACATCTCAGAACATGCTTGTAGTTTTTTAATACCGTGATTTTCTTGTGAACTGTAACAAGGCTGATGGATGAGGAATTAGATTTCATGACTGAAGACAGTTAATATAAATTCCATTTTACTTTACAGCAAGGGAATCGTTCACACAAACAGCTGCCAAGCAGCACACTGATTTGTTTCAGTATGCTTTAAACGGCTTGAATTTCTTTATTTTCTCGTATAGCAAAAAGTCCTGCTGATGGTACTCCAAGAAGACCTGTTTTATCCGTCAGTGCAAGAAAAATTAAAGATAATGCAGCAGACTGGCATAATTTAATGATGAAATGGGAGAGACTGAATGATAATGGATTTACTACAGCAAACAAAATAGTCAACATGAAGATCAGTGAGAAGTAAGTACGCTAAGAACACATACAAGACAGCATAACAATTGTCTTTATTGAACAATTAATCCATTTTCTTCCCTAGAAAGTTCTTTCTGGAGATCGGGGAAAGAACATGTCAGAGTGGATAAGATAGCTTTTAGTTCTAATTCAGCAGTTGCACTTTTTGGTTACATAAACTGTTTACATTCAAATAATAAATGTCTCAAAGATTAAAATAATCTCATAAAGTAGTGATATTTGCAAGAAATGGAAAAATTTTATTATACATAGTTAAGCATAGTGGATATTTAAAATACTTATATACAAAGTTAGAATCTAATCCTATAAATAGCAGCCCATGTGAGTTCCCTTACTCTCTTGCTTCTTTTACACTGAGGCCAATATTACCAAATTTCACTAAAGCCAAATTGCAGCAGATTTTAACAAAGAATCAGTGATTTATGTTGACAAAAAAGTTATAACAGTAATGATTAAAAAAACCCTAACAACAAAAACCACTTCGCTAGAGGTATTATCTCCATGCTGTCAAGAAAAACTTATGAACAGGGTTTTGAGAAGAAACCAGAGTCCTGACAGCTGAACAGAGTTTGTGTGGCAGTGTTCTGGCAGGTAGAAGCTCTGGAATATTTTGCCGTAATGGTGCCAGATATTGCTTTTGCTCTCTAGCAACTCCCTCTCCCCTGTCTTAAGTTTACAGCTTCTGTGGGAAAGTCAGCAAGACAGGATAGGTGTCTGCACATTAGTTGCTCTGGGTTCACAGTTAAATGTCTTGACTTAAATTGTGCAGGAAGGTGAGTTTGTGGTGAGGCACCAGATTGTCATTGACAGGCATACCTTATCCATTACGAGAGAATAACCTCCAACTCAGGAGCAAGGTAAAATGGGAAAAGGTGTTATCTGAACACTTGCAACTGTTTTTTCAAGCACATGCTCTAAGGTAGTGTAATTCTATGTTCCTCTGAAGATTATGGTACTAGCCCAAATTGCTGACATGGCTAACTATGTCTCTTACTATGTGTATGTGGGAATTCTCATGAACAGCCTGTGAGAGAGAGAGATTTTGTAGGATCAGACCGCATGGATTTGAAATCTGCATGGCTTGAGTAAACCCATAGGCAGCTGTTTACTCTGCCTTATGTTTCTATTTTAGATTTCAAGACAACAAACTGGAGATAGCATGTGATAACAGTGCCACAGAATCTGAAAAGCCAACTCCAAAATACAACGAAGAACTGGACAATTGCTGTGCAGAATTACTTGAGACCTTAAAGCAAATGGTAATGCTAATTTTTCAATCTTAGTCAATATGAATCAATTCCAAGTGTATTCAAGTATGAGATAAGGAAATGTCCTCAAGTATTTGTTGTAAAAAGAAAATTGGGATTTTTATTCATAGTTCTTTGGCTTCGAACCTAAAGATTATAAATCCAGTGTGAACCATTTATTTGCTTGATTGGTAAATTTGAAAGCTGGTTTTACATCTGCCTTCTGCTTATAATTCTACTCCTCCCTTTATAAAATGAACTTCTGAAAATGAGTCGTACAAAAAAATGTATTCTAAAACTGCCCCTGTTTTCTGTTTTCACATCCTGAATATTCCCTCCGTTTAGAGCAAAACAAACAACAAAGCATAAAGCAGTGCTTTACCTGCCATCATATCCTTGCAGCTATCTTTGATCAGACATAATAAAGTTATATTTTTAGTTTGCTTACCTGCGTTTTTTGTGCAGAACTCCTCCTCTAGAGAGTAGAGTAAGATAATTATTATGTAACCCACCTTTTTTCTGGATACATTGCTAGGAATCGATGCCACCTGTCAGTTTGACAGGAAACAAAAAGAATTTTTTTTGCCTGGTACTGTAACTTGAAATTCATATTAAAAATAACTTTTACAGCCTTCTGTCATAGTGATGGCCCATTAAAAACATGATAGATCTATTTTTTTTTATATAGACAGGATACTGGTCCAGTATTTAGAATAAGCAGGAAAGCAGCTAGATTTTCCTCAAATTTTGTTTTGTGGGGAAAAGTGACAGTAATTTGGGTTTTTTTTGTTTTTCCTTGAGGTAGTTTTGTATTCAGTCTACAAGTGTGTTGATGCAATTTTTCATTACTCCTGAATAACGGGAGTCTAAGCAGCCACTGTTAGATTGGATACTAAACATAGCTACTACAGACAGATTTTATTTTTCATTCCTTATGAGTCTGTACCAGCTTATGAGCTTATAGAAATACCTGTACTTTAGCTTCTTGACTTAAAGATACTGCCTGCAAGCTCCATTTTGTTGTAAATGTTAGTTCCCATCAGTAATGCACAAAGTCAGGTGAACATGAAGGACGTGGATGGAATGACCTGGTTTTCAAAGCAAGCTGTTAAATCAGCCTAGATATATTGTCAGCTTGAGCTGCTTTTCTCACCTGCCACTGATCTTTTGAAATCAAATTTAAGTCATCTTGACATCGTAATGTAAGAAAGCAGGTGTTTATAGGGCTTGTGCCACACTTGTTCAT